GTATAATAAAGTATATATATATATATATATATATATCTATATATATATATTGACGTGGAAGTATATATATTTTTAATAGATTAAAAATGTCACAAAAAATTTAATTTTTACAAGGAAATTAATGTCCTAATTGATGGATATTGAATAATATTAAACAAGTAATTTGAATATAAAATATTAGTTAGTATTGGTCAAAATTTAGATTTAAAAGTTTTATTTAATGTCTATAAATAAATATTTTAATTTTAATCAATTAATACTTTTTGTTGACTCATTAATTAATTAATTAATATTCCTTTGAAATTTTTCTTTCAGAAAAATTAAACAAGATCTTGAAGGATAATTAAATAATAATTATTGATTAAAAAATTAATAATTAATATTATAATTAATTTTAAATTTTATTTTGTAATAATTTAATTTTATTACAAATCTCAATCCTCGATTTTAGAATCAACAATTGTGAGTGCACTACATTGCCTTGCTTTAAAAGAGAAACATAAATTGCTATCTTGCGCCAAAGTATGTTTAGGAAATTTTTATATAAAAGAGAAACATAAATTGCTATCTTGTGCCAAAGTATGTTTAGGAAATTTTTATATAAAGAAGGAGTTTGCAGAGAATCTTTAACTTCTTATCTAATTCAATTTTTATTTATCATAATTCATTATGAATTTAAATAATAATATTTTAAATTAAATTAACAATAAATAAAGACAATTTTGTACTAAAATATGAATTATTTATTAAAAAATTAAAATATAATTTATATGTTAAAAATATTTATTTATATAAATTTTAAATATAATTTATATATAGATAATAAACATGTAATGCAAGATAAATTACTAGTAAGAAGTTGATCCAATTAATATAAATTATATTGTCTTTAATTGTTATTATACAAATCTTAAAAATAAATAATTAAATTTTTATGCATTATATTCTTATTTTATTCATACTAATAGTTACAGTTAGATATTTTATAATATTTTAAATTTTATTTATATTTTATTTTAAAAATCTTTAATTGTTATGCTTTGGGGTAGAAGATAAATAATTTAAAATTAATTAAAAATTGGATATAATATGAAAAATAAAAATAGATAAGCTTTCATTTTTTTTTTAATTTAAGCTTTAAATTTTCTTTTGCTTTCAAAAAAATTAATTTGTTTTTTACTTTCTATAGCTGAATGTATTTTAACATAAATATTAATTAATAATGTACTAATTTTGACTAAATTTTAAAAAAAATATAAGTATAATGACCTATTAGGTCTTACACTAACACAACTACACCACAAGACATGAAATAAGCATTGAAATATAAAAAATATCTATCCTAAGTTTATAATGTAGTAAAATTTGAGCATAATGTAGGTACAATATCAATATATATATATATATAATGAGATATCTATTTATTTGAAGAGTAAGTTTACCTAGATTTACTTCATTTAATAACTCGTATTTTACATTAAATTCCAACAATCCAATCATTGAATTAAAAGTTCTTAATGCATAAATCAAATCTGCAAATTTTTAAAAAGTTTAAAAATTATTTGATACTTTGTTTTATTAATTCAAATCGACGTATAAAATAATTTTATGATTATCTATCAATTTGAATTAATGAAAAAGAGTATCGAATAGATTTCAAATTTTTAAAAAATTTTCAGACTTAATCAATGCATTAAGAACTTTTAATTCAACTATTAGATCATTAAAACTTGGTATAAAACATGAGTTATTTAATAGAATGAGCCTAAGTAGACTTACTCTTAGAGTAAATAAATCTCATGTATATATATATATAGACACAAACACACATTAAATATGAATCACAATCTTGCGTGAGTGTTTTTAGGGACTTTTCTTCAATGAGAGAGTTTGTAAGGATTCTTTTAACTTCTTATATAATTTAATTTTTATTTATCATCTTCTATGATTTTTTATAGTAATTTTAATGATAATTTTTCATCCTTAATTTTAATTCCAATTTGTCTATAAATTCAATTTTTCTACATTTTTCACAAAATATTTCCAATAGTGGTATTAAGGGCTTGCTTCTAACGGGTTGTGAGAAAAATATTTATTGAGCGTTAAACACAATAAGGTTGAGTGTTAAATTGAGTGATTTATTGTTTAAACAATTTTTGGATGTCTACTTCCACCAATTCACCTGCAATTCTAATGTTTAATGGTGAAAATTATCATATTTAGGCTGTCAAGTTGAAATTTGTTTTAAGATCTCAAGGTTTATAGAACATTGTAATTTATGAAGTTGATCCATCACCATTAAGAGAAAATCCAACCATTGCACAAATCAAAGCTTGTGAGGAGAGAAGCTGAAGAAAGATAAAGTCATCGCTTGTTTACATGTAGGACTTGCAGATCATATTTTTACAAAAATCATGGACTTGGAAACACCTAAACAGGTGTGAGACAAGATTCAAGATGAATTTGAAAGCAGTAGGAGAGTCAAATATCTTAAACTTCTCAAATTGAAGAGAGAATTTAAATTGATGAAGACAAAAGATATGAATCTGTCAAAGATTATTATGGCAAGTTAATGAATGTTGTGAACCAAATACGACTTCTTGGTAAAACATCACTCACAGATCAAAAGATTTAAAGTCAGGATTTCTATAATTGAAGAGTCTTGTGATTTGTAAATTCTCACAATGATCGAAAAGTATTGCATATTAAAAAAGAATCAGCCTAAACAACAACTAGAAAAAGAGGCAAATGTGATTGAAGAAAAAAATAATTATGAAGATGATCATTTATTTGTGACATCTGAAGAATTCAATTCACATGAATTGAATACTTGACTCATTGACGGTGGTTGCACACTTGCACTGGTCACGTGATTAAATGTTTATCATTTTTTACCTCCATTAATAAATCAATTAAATTGAAAGTCAATATGGGAAATGGTGAAATTGTGCAAGCCAATGGAAAAGGAACTATTTCTATTTCAACCAAGAAAGGTATGATAATTGTCATAGATGATCTTTACATTCTAGAATTGGATCAAAATCTTCTTAATGTTTCACAAATACTAAGGAATGAATATGGAGTCTCTTTTAAAGAGAATTATTATTTTATCATGGATGAACATGATTTAAAGATTGCAAAGGTTGAGATAACCAAAAACAGTTTTATTTGAAAATTGATTTAGTTGAAGATCACAATTTTATTGCTAAAAATGATGAAAGTAATATTTGGCATGGAAGATTTGATCACACTTTTATGCAACATGTATTTGATATGACAAATCCCAACAAATGCTATTAAGACAAGAGAAGGAGTTAAATTGAATGACTATGAAGACAATGATTTGGGTCAAGAAATTGATGTGCAACAACTTGATGATACGACATTTCAGAAATCAAGTTTTGAAGATCATGAAACTAAAATTTGTAATGTTCATGACAAATCTCAAAGAAAAGTATTAGATTTATGTGATTTTTCTTCATTTAAATTTTGAATTTTGAATAAATTTTAAATAGAATATTTGTTATTGTTATAATTTTATCTTTTATAATTTATTTTCAGTTATTCAATATAATAATCTCAATAAATAAAGTTATTACTATATAAGATTTGTTAAAAATTTTAAATTGATTATAAGCTTGTACATAAACATCCTTTTCTATGAGTTTTTATGATAATTTTAATAATAATTTTTCATTTTTAATTTTACTTTTAATTTGCATGCAAAATTCAATTTTTTACATTTTTCACAAAATATTTCCAACAATTATGCTTATCTCTTATTGAGACAAATTACATTTTTTTTTTATTTTGGTACTATTTTCTAGTTGTTGTTGTATATTAATTAACATGTCATTCTATTTCATTTGATTTCAATCCCTTGCTCCAAATAAAATAACAATTTATGTAAACTAGATGTGTCTTCTCTTGGACACGTTGTTAGGAACATGAAACAGGACACCTTTCATCTGCTCAGAACCCAGAGTCATTGTAACTACATACCCACCATCAAATTTCTCATCAATTGATCCAGAAACAACAACATCATTTGCCTCCACTGGACTACCTGCATATCAGAAAGCAAATCCTTATCACAGTTATACATGAGAAGCATATCCACTTGCTGTGATTAGATGACACAAATCTAATAAGCAATGTCAAGCGAAAATTAAAGAAACTAATCATCTAAGAACAGCAATTTGTTTCATTACTCCCTACATCTATTTCCATGTCACATTAAAATATTTTACAGATAATTGTTTAATTGTTTATCTATGTACTAGTAGTACCAGTTCCTAACACAACAATTAACATAAATCTGAACTTAGATAGGTATGGTACTTTTTACTCATTTTCCTTCCAAACCTTTTTTCCTTTTCACTTTCTTTTCTAAACTAAACACACCATAAATGTTGACTTACCCTGATCAGGTGAATCATTCACAGCAGCAACTTCCGGAATGCTTGTGGAGCAATAGGAATGGCCTGATTGACCTCTAATCATAAGATCTGGATATATGAAAGTATTGATTAGTCATAGATGAATAAAAAAAAGAACAACATATACAATTAGAGAGGAGAAAAGAAAATCATTTTTTCTTACTAGGAATTGGGGGAGGAATGCCTTGCCTCCCAAAATAATACACTTGCTCAAAGTGATAAAGCATGGATAGATACGATTTGCGCACCATAAATGATGCACTTGTAATGGTATCACTGAAATTGAAGACCTGAATCACTTCCTTCCAGTTACGATCATAAATCACCTTTATTAATTTAAGAAAACACTGAGGAGGATCATTTTAAAACAATTGTATCGAAGGGATTAATAAATCTAGCAAAAATTCTAAGATCAAGATATATTGCAAACTTAGAATATGTACAATTAGCACCAAATCTTCTGAAAGAAAACCAAACTCAAATCATAAAAACACACTTGTTTGATGACCCAAAAGGGCTGGTAGAGATTTATGCAATGCACACCTTTTCAATTCCACCACGAGTGGTTACTTCCACAAAAAGGCGATGCAGATCAAGTGACTTTCCTCCTATAGTAGCAACCCTACATAAACAAAAAGAAAAATCAATTTTATTTATCTGCATCATCCACACTTGATTCAATCATTCAACACTCCATGAGCACCTAAGAACAAATAAATAGACAGAAAAATAACAAATGTACCATAAAACTAAAATAAAAAACCTAATTGAAAAAGGGTATTTTTTTTTAATGATTTTTACTTGAATTTGGTGCCAAATGATCCGTGAAAATCCTGAAGCTTTTCCCAGAAGAGGGTTGCATCATGAACAATATCCTGGTACTGAGCCGTTGGTGCAGGGTAAGGTGTAGTGGGTCTGACTGTAGATGATTGATATTGCAGTTGAGAGTGAAAGCAATTAGTGGAATCAGAATCACCTGGGTTTGGATTATTTGTCATACTCAAATCAGAATCCCTCTCTCCTTAATCCTAATTCCTAAATCACACACCTTAGCACAAACTTAATTACTTTGGATTATTGCAAATTCATAGGTTATAAAATAATAACCTTTATATAACGCATCTCCTATTCTCTTTTCCTATGTTTCCTTAGTATAATATAATATAAATTAGACACGAAGGCAGTCCCATTAAGAAAACAGAAAAAGAAAAACGAATTTGCATTAGTATTTAAGAATGAGAACTTTATATATTTATTTCCATTTGTGTTAAATAAAAAGGTACATATTTATTTAAGTCTCAAGGCGAAATCAAAACTATTATTTATTATTCTTGAATTTTTATTTATTAGTATTTTAAGTATGTGCTATACAAATAAATATTATATTTCAAATATATATATATATATATATATTATATTTAAAATTTATATAAATAAATACGTTTAAGTGTATAAAATATACTTTTTAATTTAAAATTTAAATTTTAATTAATAAATAATTATGATAAATAAAAGTCAAATTAAATAAAAAGTTAAAAAGTTCTTAAAAAGAGTTGTTTAAGAAAAACTTCTAAAAATACTATATAAAAATTTAATTCAGAAATAATTATGATAAATAAAAATTAATTAAATTAGAAGTTAAAAAAAATTTAAAAATTATTTCATTTAAAAAAATTCTTAAAAACGTTTTCATGCTTAATACTAATTTGTGTTTAATATATAGAGATTGATATATTGTAGTACATTAGATAGTTATTTTAAAAATATTATAATAAATAAAAATTAATTAAATAAGGAGTTAAAAAAATTCTTTAAAAAAATTTTATTTAGGAAAAATCTCTAAAAAATTGTTAACACGTATAAAAATATGTATTTAGTATATAGGAGATAATTGATTAGTATTTCAATTAAAAGAAAAGAAATTCAAAGTCAATGATAAAATTATGAAGAAATTTTACTTTTATCCTATATTAAATTTTAAACCTTAATCCATTCGTTATAAATGGAATTTAGTAAATATTTATTACCAAAAGTAACAACTTACTTATCGTATTACATAAAGACATGTACACGTTTTGTAATTATTTTTTTTATAGAATACAACAGTTTACAAAATCATTTAATTAAATTCATGTCACTTATGTACTTAAAAATTTCTTACTTTAGATTCTTTTTTTAATAATGTATGTACACAAACATTTAACTTTAAGTACACACACACACACATATATATATATATATATATTTTATAGTGGACGACTAATGTAAAGTTGACTGTCTATTAAATAATAATTATGTTACACGTGATTTTTAAGCTGATTATTTAAAAAAACAAGTTATTATACATGTTAAATTGTGATTAAATAACCATATAAATCTTTTACATTATTGGGACATATACCTTTTTTATTTAATACAAATTATTTTAATATTTTTATTCAAAAAGTAAATCAGAATGTTTTCCTAAACTTGAAATTTCAAAAATAAATATATTATAAAAATTATAATTGATATAAACATTTTAACGTCTTAACTAATGAATATTTAATAAAATTATATAAAACGTTTAATATGAGATATTAGTCAACAACGTTCAGCATTTAAATTTAAATTTTGAATTAATTGGTATAAAATTTTTAATGTCTTAATTAATGAATATTGAATAAAATTATATAAAAGATTTAATATGAGATATTAATCAAAAACCGTCAGCATTTAGATTTAAAATTTTATAAAATTATTAAAATTCACTTTAATTAAGTATATATATTTTAATAGATTATTAGTATCACAAAAAATATAATTTTTACAAGGAAATCAATGACTTAATTAACGGAGATCGAATAAAATTGACTAAATAATTTCAATATAAGTTATTAATTAGCATTGAAAAAAATTTAGATTTAAAAATACTAACTAATGTCCATAAACAAATATTTAATGTTAATTAATCAATATTATTTTTTACTCGTTAATTAATTAATTAATATTCTCTGGAAACTTCATTTATAGAAAAATTAAAAAAAGATTTTGAATGAATACTTAAAAAATAAGAAATTAATTGAATAAATGTAATATAATAAAATGAATTTAATTTAGATTATATTATTTGCTCAATTTTATGCCCTCCTAGTTATAATTGTCAAAGTAAGTAATCTGATCTAGTTCACCACATGTTAGATAATAGGTGGATTAATCCAACATGTCTTAGCTTTTTGTGAGCTTTGTAACATTGTACGTTTTAGTAATTGTTAATTTTATTAAAATATATGTTATGTTGATTATTGTTTTTATGTTGAGAGACTCTAAAATTAAGAGATTCCTTATGAGTTCTTAATTGTTTAAAGGATTTATTTTAACAAAAGTTTAATTTGTTCTTAAAAGGAAGATATATAAGATTTTTTTTTAAGACTTTGATTTTATAAGTTCATTTTTTAAAAGAAATTTAAAGAGAAGTTGGAGAGAAACAATGAACCAAGATCCTTCCTTCATCCAGTACAATAAAAACTATTATTATTTACGAAATTGTAAGACCCGCTTCTTCTTCCTCCTTCCCCTCAACACTCTTATTTTTCCTCATTCCTTATTCTCTCATTTGAACTTTTTGAGTCTCCTTGTGGTATTGAAGGTGATGTGTAGAATTGTGGGTAGCTAGTCGGAAGCGCGGACCTTCTCCTTCTCCTTCTTTTTTTTCTCTTCCCTGGAGCTCGGATCCTTTTTTCCAAGGTAAGGGAAGTTAGATTGTAAATGTAACACCCCAATTTTTATTTCACTTTTTATTTTTTTTAATTGAGGGTATTTTGGTAATTTTATAAAGGTATAGGGGTGATTTAGTAGCTTGGAACAGGCTGTTCCGGAATTGGAACGGACCGTTCCAAATTACCAAAATGTATGTGATTTAGTAGCTTGGAACGGGCTGTTCCGGAATTGGAACGGGCCGTTCCAAACTACCAAATTGTATGTGAGTTAATAGCCCAGAACGGGCTCTTCTCAAGTTGGAACGGGCCGTTCCGAACTATTAAAAGATGCCTTAAACTTTAAGTGGGAACGGGCTTGGAACGGGCTATGGTAGTTGAGTAATAAATGCACACCAGAACGGGCCGTTCTGGGTGTGACTTTTGCCCACAATTTTGGGGTCCAGAACGGGCCGTTCTGAAATTGGAACGGGCCGTTCTGGCGAAGTCTGAGGCCTATAAATTGAGTTGTCTGCCACTCTGAAAAAGCACACCTCTCATTTTCTGATTTCTTTTCTTCTGCTCTCTCTTCTTTTCTCTCTCCTTTCTACTTTAGACCGAGGGGAACCCAGCGAGGGAGACCAACCAGATCTCGTATAAATTCAGCTTCTACATATCCAGGTACGGGGGAAAAAAAGATTATTTATATATAGAGTTACATGAGGGAATCGGGTAGAGAAAGAGCCCTTAGGGTTATGAGTAATTTTATAATTA